CTGCCCGTGGGGGGGCCGGGGAGGCGGCCGGGAGGGGTGGTGACGGTGTTAAATGTGGCCGCGCAGCTCCCCGGGGAGCGGCCTGAAAGGAGAGCGCGCTCACCAGCTGACAGCGCGTGCTCCGCTCCAGACGCCCCGCACCGCGGCCAGGAGCCTCGCCAGCCCCTCTATTGTCAGCCGCTCTCTAATTAAGCAACACTCACATTACCGCGAGCCACCCCCACGCTTCTTGGTTCCTGTCCTTTTCTTTATCTTCCCCCGACTTCTCTCCTCCGCTGGGTCTCAGAATTTAACCCATTCTCCGCTTCTCAGCCTTTGCTGGTTCGGGGCCTAGCCGCAGGGCAGGGATCTCGGGAGTCGGCGCCTGGGGCGCTGGTCAGTTGAGGATGAGGGTGGCTGGCGAGAGCTGTCAGAAACAGAGGGAAACTTACAGGGTGGCTCTGTCTCCAGCCCCCACTCCCCTCACCAATTCAACGCCTAGAGGTCATCTTTAAACTCTCACCAGCACACACTTGCTTGTCTCTCCAGATTGCAATGGACACGTCTAGGTTGCCACAGGCAAGTGGGTCTGCACTGTCGTTTCCAATTCTAACTTGGAACAACCAAGACGAAGTTGATCATGTTTCTTGAACTTCCAAATGAACAAAGAAGAGAAATAATGACAAGATATCCTTTGATAAAAGATCGCTTACTTGGTTCAGGTTTAGATCTCGAAAAGTCAATAGTCGGGCCTAATAAAGGCTGTGGTCCTGCATCGGTTAAGATTAAGAACATTAATGCCTCCTCTTTTTCTGGTCAAGACCTCCCAGTTAGCAATGTTCCAAACAGAACATGCTTAAAATGGTCAGTTACCAAAAATAATCTTCCTCCGCTTTCTGTGAAATCAAATAAGTTTCCTAAAGTGTGGTGAGCCAGAACCCTCCACAAATAAAAGTGGTGGTGGGGTAGAAGGCAAAGACAAAATATAAAGCAACGCTGCCGAAAGTATATAAAACTCTGGAAAGCCCCAGCAGTGTCGCAGAAGACTAACCCGACTTATCTATCTTCATTACTTTAAGAAACGCTGCCTCTTTGTTTGTTTGGGTGATATTAAGCATGCTTAACTTGCACACATAGTTGATTCCTTTGCTAGTATCTTGGATACTTGGATCTGACTTTGGAAGGTAGAAGCTAATTGCTAATAATGGAGAGAAAGGAACCAGCCAGCATGGCAGGAGTGGTCTGGCATATGGGGAATGAGTGCTCAGAAATACTCAATATTCAAGTTTCCAAAATATTAATGAGATTATAGCAACCTGCAGCTATATGTTACAGCTTGTTAATGGAGTGTAAGGGAGCAAGCTGCCAAACGTTTGTTATGCAAACTCCACAGCAGAACCTTAAAATGGAAATGTGATTGTACATCTCTCTCAAAGAAATGCCAGCATAAGAAGAAAGAGAAATAGAATGAGGGAAAGAAAAGAGGTTAAAGTCCTCATTTGAACTTTGAACACTTCATTTGCCACAAAGGGATTTGGCTTTTTGTGCCTGTCTGTGATGGGTTAGAAGAATTCATCCACACTTTCAATCAGTGTGATACAGAATTTCCAATCTGATAATCGTTTTTTTTCTCTCATGAGAGGAAATGTCAAGTGACTTCCTTAAGTGAAGTCGGCATTATCTTCAATTTGTATATAATGCCACTAACACTTAAAAGTTAAATATCTGGCTGTTATTGTGGTACCAGAAGAAAAAACACACAACCCTCTGAACATTTGCATAGATGTAGCTCCTAGCCACAGAATTTCTCAGAGAAAATTTTGTGGGTTTATTGTCCTCATGGACGGGAGTACTAAGATGCAGGTCTGGATGTTGACAGGACGTCCGTGTAATTTGGCCGCAGTCAGTCAAGGGCAGGGCATTATAGAAGATTGCAAAGGCATTTCTGATGTCATTTCTGTTTTAAAATTTCTATATGCACGTGAAAAGAAATAATTTTGGAAGAGGCTTTTTCCTCTGGTTAACACAAAATGAACACAAAGATATTTGAAAATGAAGTACAGTTTTCTTGGAGGAAAAAAATCACAACTTTATTTTTCTTAGTCCTGTCCTTCCCCTACTCAGATTCATAGCAGGTAAAAGCATTCCTCTCTCTCTCTCTCTCTCTCTCTCTCTCTCTCTTTCTCTCTCCTTCTCTCTCTCTCTCCCTCCCTCCCTCCCTCCCTCTCTCTCTCCACGTGTATGCAGACACACCAAGCCAAATAACTATAAAAATATGTTTGCGATCATCCTGCACAGTTGCTTATGTCCATGCCTGTTGAGTCTGCTTTTTGGGAGTGAAATGGAAATGCGTTAGAAGCAATCGCTTGATTTATTCAGCAGCCAGAAGATTCCTGATGGTTATCGTGAGCGCAGCAAACTCAGTGGGGGCAAAAGGTTATCTAAGGGACAGGTGCATGGTTTCTGCCCCTGGAAAGTGCCTGGAGCCGCTGCTCACCTCTCCCAGAGAGCTGGCGCAGGCTTCCCTTGGCTTCCCTGGATCATAAGCATCAGCTGAAAGCCCCTGGATACCCAGGTGGTCAGTGAGGAGCTTATTCCGCAGTTCTCTACCCTTGACCAGAACTTCCTTTCCTCGCGCGTTACTTTCTCTGCACCCAGTTTATGATGCTCTCCGCACTTCAAGATGCTGCGGAGAAAGAGGGATGCGGGAGCGATTAAAACAACCATCCCTCGCGTTCCGTCGGCTTCCTTGCTCTTGCAAATTGTTATCCACCCGCAGTGAAGAAACAAAATATAAAAGATTCGTTTTAAAATCAGCCTCCCTAATTCAGTGATGCTCATCCGGTGGAACACCGCCCATCTTCAGTTTAACAAATCATTCCACTTTCAAGTTTGCCAAAAATGTATTTCGCTTTCTGCTTTCTCCACACACACACACCGTATTAGCTTTTTCAGAGCGAATGATCCTGACACCCAGAATAGGCTATTACTTAGTGAGAACCCTGAGGTGAGAGAGTGCACCTTTTAGTTTCTGCAACTGACTAAAAATGTAGTTAAATGTTTTCTACATAGTTACTAATGCAGAAGGACAGACATCACCATGACATTGGAAGAAGCAGAATTGCTTGTAAGGAAAAACACGAGCGAGTGGAGGTCAAAAATTTCCTAGGATAACTGCAGGTTCTGATTTTTGAATCGATTAACCTCAACCCCTTTCCTCAGTTTCTTTTCCATTGTCCTCTTTTTTCTCTTTGCCATCAAACCTCCTCCTCCCCAGAAAGAGGGAAGGAGGAAGGAAGAGAGAAGAGAGGGGGAGAGAGAGAAGGGGAGGGAGAGAAAGAATGGGCTTGTGCTGTGAATTTGACCTTAACAAGAAAAGCTCTCAGATTGGCTAGTTTTTATGAAGTGGCAATAGGAAACCCTAGTAAAGTTCACTACTCCTGGCGAAATTCTAGGAGACCTGCACACAACCTTGCAGAGGTCGTTGAGGCTAGGAGTGAGGAAGACTGGAAAGATCCTGACTACTCAAGAGCAAGGCTTACAAAGTCGGGAGAAGTGTTACCTCACAATTTAATTATTGACCAGCGCTTTTCCCCCTTAGGGCTTCTGGTCTTACTTGAAGATATGAGGTTAATAACAGAATTGTTCTTCAAAACTCCTAGATCGCACAAATTGGCACTTATTAGAAGAGAGTTAAGTTCTTCAAGGTTATTTTGAAACTGTTTTCCATGCTTACATTAGAACGGAATAAGTGACAAGTAAAAGTTATTTTCAAGTTTATTTTTATCATTTGCAAAAGGAAATACATAAAACAATGGCAATGGCTTTGCTAATTTAAAATAAAATGGTCTCGAGTAGAAAACGTAAAAAATGAATCAAGATAAGTAGAAATGGTAGCAAACACTCAATAATAAATACGTTCTAACATTAACAAAGCAAAAATAAAATTGACCAAATGCTTTTGACACTACTGGGAATGTTTTTTTTTAATTTTAATTTTTTAAACAAAAATTTGCAAAAAGCTTAAGGATTATAAGTGGCCGTGTTTAAAAAACAAAACTGGTCTGCAATTGGCAGTTGAGTTTGTCCCGGAGCCGCTGCGGTAGCGGCTGATAAAGTGCGTGCGCCAAGTTTCCTACAAGACGCCAACTTTCTAGCGATCGGATATACATACTGGGTATGTTTCTACAACACACACACTTCCAAGTTGCCCGTTTTCGAACAGTTCCACAGTCAAAAGTCACTCACTTTGGAAGTCTTCACTTTGAGTTTCATAACGCATTTTTTGGGAAACAGTTGAGGAATACTAATTCTCCCATACGTGAGCGCGCGCAACACACAAGGATGGATGCCCAGGGCATAAAATAAATTAAACACAAACCAGCGATAGAGAAGATGCGATGTTTTAGCAGCGTATTGGCAGCAGGGAACTAGGTATATATATAATTAAGTACACCCTATCTATAGGGGAAGCAGAAGGTGGGAGGGAAGAACACGACTTTAACAGGTTTTCATCAAACAACATTGGACGATGGGAAGTTTGGAATAGCGGAGGCTTTTGCAAACCATCAAATGTAGCTGCCATCTGAAGCCAAGTCGTTGCTAAACAACGACCGTCGCCGCGCAAACATTAAAAGGGTGCGGGGATCGTTAGCCGCGGGGCTGTCCGCGCACGGGGAAGGGGCGATTTTGTCTCTGTCTGTGTTCAGGGTTTCTGTCACCTTCCTAACTGGCCTCATCCGAGTCACTGTAATGGGAATGGGGAGAAAACTCCCCGTCGCTTCTGTGGGACCGGGGCGAAGTTTTGCTACTTTCCTCCGGCCCTGGCTGCAGGATGCCCCCGGGCAGCGAAGGCGACAGGTTCTTCTGCGCCATCATCGCCGTCAGGGCGCTGTCCTCGAAAGTCGAGAAGTGCAAGGCGTCCAGCGGCACCGA